TGTTGGGCCACATCCAACAATTCTTGTAGGGCTGAGTAGTCTAATTGTTTAAAAAAAACTAAGGGCTTCCTGGACTGTAGGTAGGTAAGGGTGTTGCAAGAGAGAGCATTTTCCAAAGGAAAAATAATTAGGAGGAGTAAAACTAGGGTTCCCGGCAAGGACAGAGGAGATCTCTTAGCAGGACTGGTGTGGAGTTGTCAAAGAAGGGGAGTTACCCAGTAGTACCAGATCATGTCACATACTTTCTGGGGCTCACGTGTCCACCAGCGGGACTTTGGTCAGTTGGAGCCTGGTATCTGAAACTGGCTGGCAGGCATAGGAGACAAGAGTAGATAGAGTCCAAGGGCAGTTCCTCCAATGGAGAGTTAGTTCTTAGGCAGGTCAGTGGGTTTGAGTCGGGAGAGATGTATTCATGATGGAAGTCCTGAGAGCTTTGCTGCTGTGGGAGTGGTGAGAATTCCTTGAAAGGGGCCCTTCCAGGGAGGTGGGAGGGGTTTAGTTTGTCCAGGGAGGTCCTTTAATAAAACCCAATCTCTGGGCTGTACGTGTTGATTCTGGAGTACTTTGGTTGCTTGTGGTGAATAGGTGTCTGCGTACTGGCAGAGGAGATGTCTGACTAATTCCAGTGCTGGAAGATTGTTGCCTAGGCCTGGAGGTGAAATGGATGGAAAGAGGGATAAAAGTGCAGGACAGCTACACATGAGCTCAAAGGGACTCATAAAGAGGAGCTTTGGGGGTGATACAGAGCCTGAGAAGCGCATAAGGTAAGAGTTCCTTCCAGTTTTAATGAGCTCTAGTGAGAGTTTGGTGAGTTGCTGTTTAAGGAAGGCTCTTTTCAATCTGTCCAGAGGACTTGGGGTGCCAGGCCACATGTGGCTTATAAGAGATGTTCAGAACTTGGGAGATTTGTTGTGTGATTTGGGAAGTGAAGGCTGGATCACTATCATTTTGGAGTGAGGTTGGCAGTCCAAGCCTGGGAATTATACCCTGGAGAAGACTCTAGTGACTTCTGAGTCCTGTTTACTGGTGACGGGGAAGACTTTTATCCATCCTGAGAAAGTGTCAGTGACAGTGAGAAGGTGTTCGTGATGGGGAGGCATGTGGGTGAAATCTACTTGCCAGAACTGCCTAAGCAAATGTCCCCACAGTTGGTGCCTGGGTAAAGAGGGAGGAGGCCTGAGGTGGCCCTGTGGACTGACTTGATGACAGATGAAACCGTCCCTAGTGATGTCTGTTAGCTTGCTTTCTAATTGTTTTGAATGTAAGAGGGGAGACTGAAGTACCTGTAGGAGCCTACTGACAATATAAAGGGAGTTGTGCAGAACTTGTAACATGGAAGTTTCCTCAAGTTGGGGAAGAGTACACTGTCCCCCATGTAGAAGCCAAGGTCCCTCCCTGGTAGCCCCTAATTTGGTATATTGTGAGCACTCCGGAGAGTGCCTGGGTGTCTGGTCTGGTAGTGAGGGTAGGGATAGCGCTTTTGTTGCTGGGAATGGTAAAGAGGTGGCCAGTTTTGCCTCCTAATCAGCCCTGTGGTTTCCTAAGGCCTCAGCTAATTGGGTTTGCTGGTGGGCCTAACAGTGAAAAATGGCCCCTCGGGTAGGCAATTGTGCTGCTTATATTAGTTCTAAGATTAGACTGGCATACTTAATAGAGGATCCTCGAGTGGTAAGGAGGCCTCGTTCTTTCCAGGTAGCTGTGTGTGAATGGAGAGTGCAATATGCATATTTAGAGTCAGTGTAAATGTTGACTTTTAGGCCTTTTCTTAGTTGGAGAGCCCTTATAAGGGTGATTAGTGCAGCTTTTTGAGCTGAAGTGTTGGGTGAAAGTGAAGGGAGAGCTCTCAGCCCTGTGAGTAGTAGTGACTATTGCCTATCCTGCTCTCCTCTGTCCATCAGGAATGTAGCTGCTCCTGTCTATGAACCAACTATGATCTAGTGACGACAGAGGAGTATCCAAAAGGTCAGCACAGATTGCTATGGAATGTTCAAGGACACCTGTGCAGGGATGCTCAAGAGAAGAATGCTGAGGGCCTGGAAGCAAAGTGGCTGGGTTTAGGACCATGCAGGTTGACCATGAGAGAGAGAGATTGTTTCTGAGTAAGGTCTAGTGTTGAGTGTTGTGGTTATTGGTGAGGAAGTGACAGGCTTTGTTGTTAAGGTCTCTGAGGGCCTAGAGAGGAAAATAGCAGAATTCTTTCTCGCCCTTGAGTGATTTCTTTAACCTTGTCATAGTTAACAGGGTTGGTAGTGGTTTGCTTCATTCCCTCTATGAGGCAGGAGAGCATGTGATCCTGTTTACTGAGGTCAGGGGACTTAGTTTGGTAGTCCCAGTTGAGGTCCTGGTCAGGGATAATGGTAGCACCAGGGGCCTAAGAATTAGCCTGTCTCTAATTTAGGTCATCCCCATACTTCTGTGCCTCAGTCTAAATATGGCCCCTCTCTCCTGAATTCATACACATAGAAAAGATAATATGAATATCTCCCAGGAGAAGTCATACGAGAGAGTGAGATATTCAAACTCCTTTGTAAACTTAGCTGGGTTTGCCGAAAAACTGCCAAGTCCGACCTCAATTTGGGGGATGTCTGATATTGAAAAGGGAGCCTGGACAGGAATAATGCCCTCCGACGCTGCAACCTCATGGAGAGGGACTGGGTCTCAGGCTTCAGAGGTCCCTGAGATAGCCTGAATGGGTATGGCCCAGAGTGACCCAATCTTAAGTGGGGTGGTGGGCAGGAAGATAGGTCTGAGAAGTAGGTAAAGGAGCCGAAAGGGCTGCTGAAGAGTCACATGACAGGGGATATGAAGGAGGAGGTACAGAGAGGGGGAGATTTTCCAAATCTTGGGAAGATGAAGGAGGAAGGGAAGTAGGTATACATAATGTACATAAGAACACACAAGAGGAGGCACAGAGATCAGGATGGTGAGAGAATTTGAAAAGAGCCCAAATGTAAGGAACCTCAGGCCATTGTTCAGAGTGACAATGGTACAGCTCAAGTTGGAGGATAGTATTATAGTTAAGAGATCTATTCATGGGCCAGACTTTCTGGCTACCCAGTTTGTACTGAGGCTAGGCTATATTACAATAGAAAACCAAGTGCTTGGGCTTGAGGTTGGTAAGTCCCAGAGCCTTCAAGTTCTTAAGCAGACATCCCAGTGGGGAGTCCTTGGGTGGGGTTGATTGAGTATTGCCCATGGCAAGAACTACAAAAAGAAAAGCCAAGGCTATCTCAGAGACAAGAACAAGCAAAGGGGGAGAAGTTTGAGAAGGGCATCCCCAACTCAAATGACCTAGAGGTCTGCAGCCAGAGCTGAGCGTAGCATCCCTGAATCTGAGGGCAGACTGATCACAAGGTCCTGCCTTAGAGCCAGGCACCCCTGGGCCCCAAGAGCAGACCAAACCAGCAGAGAGACGGTTGCAGGGGTGTTTCCCAGCCAAAACCTTGTGAAAGTGATAGACCCTGTACTGGGGTTTATGATGATGAGACAAGGGGATAAGCATCCACCTTTGATAGGATGTTTTTGTCCTGAGATTCAGAGACTTACTGATTGCTGGCTGTGACGATGGGTGAAAAGGAGGCTGTCTGCAGAGTCTGGGGAGACAGAAGATTAGAATTTTCTCTCCAAACCTCACAGACACAGGGTTAGGGAGTTAGCCTGGGTAAAGCTTCCGTTGCCCACTGCTACCCTAGTCCCAAGTCTCAGGAGGCTGAAGGAAGAGAAAGAAATAGAGAATGTCTCTGTATAGGTCACCAAAATGTTAGCATGGTTGGTGATGGAGGCTGTGAAAGAATTCGCAAAGAGAAGAAAGTGTAGAGAATAAAGTTTTTATTCACTCTCCAAGAAAGGAGAAAGGCATGGTGTGGAGGAATACCCCGGCATTGAGGGCTGGGGGATATGAGCTTTTACTGGGTTATAATTCTATTAAAAAACGGCGGGGGATTGCTGTTGTGCGGCCCCTGGGCAGCTGGGGCATTGTAACAGAACCCCACTGTTTGTTCCAGTGTTATCTTCCACCTGTGGCTATAGGGGAGTGGTTAGACCTGTTCTTATTTTCTAGTAATTTCCAGTCCTGGGGACATAAGTTCAGAATAAAATGGCAGTCAGGTTTAACAAGGTTATGACCTTGTTATAGGCCTGTTAGGCAAATGGTGCCACAATAGCAAGTGGGTCTGGCTTTGTCCTTTTCAGCCCCCTGTGAGGGTGTGTGTGTGTGTGTGGCGGAGAGCAACTTATAAGGGTATACATGTTCCACATCACAGGCTGTGACAAATTACTGAATGAATAATCATATGTCATTATCTACCCTCCCCTTGGGAATATTTTAAATGCCCACCAGGAAGGAAGATTGATGTAGGCTCACAAGTTAGGGACGCTTCAAACTCTCAGCCTGATGTATTCTGGATGGGCAACGCTGCTGGGTGAAAACTGTATATATTGACAACCTATTAATACTCTTTTAATAACAAATTAGGATAAAAATAGGATAGCAAATGCCGCACAAACTCCTTCACATCTAGGTCCAAGAGCCTCCTGCAATATCTCCAACTACTATTCCGGACCTCCAAAGCAGCACCTACGTCCGCACTCCACGCCAAGCTGCAGGAGCACATCCCGCAGTTTGCAGGAGGAGGGCTGAACGAAGAGGGCTGGACCAGGAGAATGTTTCCCAGAAGTCCTCGCCACTGGCTGCCTTTCTCCCTCCGGCTCCTCCCGCCCCCGCCCACAGGCACTACGTGACCCCACCCACCACGTTCCTCTGTCGCAAATGGTGGTGGTTTGCCTGCGCCCCCCAGCGGTCAGGTCTAGCTCTGCAGTGGTACACTCTGGACCATAACAAGCGAGTACGGGGAGTGCGGAGGGTGCTGCAACCACCGCTACCGTGGCTGTTTGGCTGCCTCTAGTGTGTAAGCTAGAGGCTGCACCGCTGAGGGAAGGAGGGAGGGAGGGGGAGAGAGAACGCGAGGGGAGGAGGAGGCCCAAGGGGAGGGAGGAGACCAGACAAGGCGGGGGGAGGGGTATCAGCGGTGGCGCAAGCAGCGCGCGGAGCAGCAGAGCCTGGGTCCGCTCCCTACACTGCCGCCGCCTTCCCACCCGGCGGCAGATCTGGCGCCCCGGCAGCCCCAGAACACCTCCAGACGGACGAAGGACTCCATGTTGGGGAACTTGGTGGTGGCGTGACGGGGACCTAGGGACTTACGGTGCGGCTGCTGGCGGAGCAAGAGCCTCGACCTCGGCCTTAGGTAAACACGGCCGAGCTGGGGGTGGATGGGCTCGCGCAGCTGTCGGGGCGAGGTGGGGCTTCCAGGTTGGCGACAAGAGGGCGGACAAAGTTTCAGAATTGTGCGGCCCAGGCAGCGTCCTGCGCTTGGAGGAAAGTTGGAGCTGCTTCTGGAGGCGGGGGAAGAGCAGCGGCGGGAAGGGCTCTTCTACCCGGCCAGGGAGGCCCGGCTCAGGCCGCCGCGGCCTCACTTTCGGCACCCTGTCCCATTTCCTCCTTGTGGCCTACCCGCCTGTGCCGGCGAAGCCTGTCGCCGCCGGGGTGCGGGATGGGGGGTGGGGGGGCTGCTCAGGAAGGAGACTCCACCGAGTGCCCACACATACAGCCCCTCCCTGCAGTGGAAACGTGACCTGCTGGGTTTCCGGGAGCTCCCCAACCCTTGTGTCCGCTTTAGTGGGGAGACTGCTTTTGTCAATTGCGTCCGAGCCCGCCCGTGAAACCAAACTTTACTACGTCGTGACCTCTCGTAGCGCAGGAATGGGGCGCTTGCTGGCTTGCTGCTAAACATCAGCGTTGACCCCATGCCTTGGATTTCAAACTACTCTCACTCCCAAAGTTTAAACCCGTTTCCTGGGTTGACAACAAAAGGGCCAGTAGATGTAAACTTAGCTTAATCAGCCTCCCCTTCTCAGACAGGGATTTTGAACCATTGGAGACATTCAGATTGCTGGCGGGCTTGTCACCTACATACATGCATTTTGAAAACTTGTTTTAAAAGTAAACACCTGATTTAGAGTGTTCGCTTAAACCATTCACAGATTGAAATTTTTCACTTTAAAATACCCCCCAGTGTATTTCTGTACCGGATCACATACAATATCTATGAGTTGAGCATTTTTCATTCATTTTGGATTGCATTTTACCTAACATCTTTATCATACTATCAGTAAGCTGAGGTATTTAAGCAAAAATGATCAAAAAGTTTTTAATATAATGGTTTGGCTAGTAGATGCTTATCTTAATTTTCTCAGGTTGGGAATTTTCGCTGAATTTTGGAAAAAGCATATTAAAATGTATTTTTAAAAAGTTAATTGATGCAAAAGACTATTTAGGTCGGTAGCAGAATAATGAGGGCAAAAGATTTTTTTTTAAGGTATTTACTTTTTAGAGAGGGGGAAGGGAGGGAGAAAGCGGGAGAAACATCAATGCGTGGTTGCCCCTCCCTCACCCCTACTGGGGACCTGGCCCACAACCCAGGCTTGTGCCCTGACTTGGGATCGATCTGGCGGTCCTTTGGTTGAGAAGCCGGCGCTCTATTCACTGAACCACACCAGTCAGAGTGAGCGCAAAACATCCTTGAATAACAGGTGTTTTTGTATTTTACTGGTAATTGTACTAAAATTGTGATGTGTAATCGAGTTTCTTTCCAGACCATTGCTTTCTCTTTTTTGTTTCTTTGGCATTTGGCGGCATCATTTCACTTTTTTGCTATTGGTTTAGAGCTGGAGCAGAAAGTTTGTGGGACTTTTGTTTTTATTGTTTTAACCTGTTGGGTGGAAGAAATGAAATTTTGAAATTGTTTTTGGATTTTTTGTTTTATACTGCCATACCAAATATAATCTGAGTTTACTTTGTATTGTTTTTATACACTGAGTTTTTTTTAAAAAATTAGCAATTCTTGCTGTTGCTGTGCTTTTTCACTGTATTTTTTTTGGTGCTTGCAAGTATATTAATCACTATTTTACATTCAAATAGTGACCTTTTTGCCTGGGAATTTGAGTACATTTTGAGATTTAGTCGGGCAAGATTTGGGTGTCTACTTAACTCTTCGTGTACTCATGCTGTGAAGGTATTCTTCAGTATGTTGAGGAGGAAGAAAACTAGAATAAGAAAATACTCGTAAATATGCTGCCTGAAATGTGTGGGGAAAAATTTTTGAGGGGAATTTTTTTGTATGTCTTTTGGTGGTCCATGGGTTAAAAGTGAATGAACCTCTTCAGGGGGTCACTGACTTCCCCATCAACCAGTTTAGGCAATTTTCTTAAAAAGTTCTATTGGTAATTAGCAGAGAAAGGATGAATCAGTGCCATTATATGATATTGTTGATTCATCATCTATAGCATCTTTTGGTAATAAGAATGTGTAATGTTACCGTACTCATCAACTTAATACTGAACTTTTTAGCTATCAGTGATAGTTTTTAAACCTAACTAAAGAGAGTGGCAGGCATAAAAGTGATAAAAAGTCATCCATCCCTAGAATATTCATTGTAACTTTTTCTTTTAGCAAGCTCTGCCATTCTCACCTTGTCTTTCAGTGATGTAAATTGGATCTTGACTTGTGAAATAAGCTTAAAGCCTGAATTCTTAATTTTGTCCTGTGTCCCAAAGAATACATTACTAGCCTTGTACCTTATCTTGCATCTGAATGGTGATACTGTTAGTAGCACAGAGTAGAGCCCAGAGTTAAAATAACCAGTATCTCTGTTGCTGTGCCCAAGAACTCATCCTTGCATTGTCCTCATAGTATTTTCTTTTCTTTCTTTCTTTTTCTTTTTTTTTTTAAGTTGTGGCTTTATGTGCCTAGCAGTTAGGCACATAAAGTTTTAACATAAAATGTGAAAACACCATCAGCATCTCTCACTTGCAAAATGGCTCCCTAAAAAATTTCACTGACCTTTGTTCACTTACAGTCTCAATAGCCAGAGTGATCCTGTTAAAATTTATCAGATCATGTCACTTCTCAAATGGCTTCCCTGGTAAAATTCATGGTCTTTATTATGGTCTACCAGGCTCTGGATATTTTGAACCTTTTCTTCCTCTCTGACTTCATTATCTCACTCTTTCTCCAACCACACTTCTCTGCTACTGAGGTTTTCTCTGACTACTATGTATAAAATAGCAAGCAGTCTTCCCACATTTCCTAACCCTTTTAAATCTAGGTATTTCTCCATAGCATCTATCACTTTCTAACACACTGTATAATTTACTAACTTAAGTTTATTGTATTTCTTCTTTAATCTAATGCAAGTTCTGTGAGGGTAGGGTTTGTTAATTTTGGTTACTGTTTTGTCCTGAGTAGTACCAGACACATAGTAGGTATATATGTATTTAATGGTTTAACATGCTTTCAGCTGGAAACATTTTAAAAACATTAAAAATCATAATTATGGTTTGAAACTTTAGAATATGCAAATCTGTTTTTGTATAAACTGCTAAGTTACTTCTATCCACACATTAGTGGAAGAGCCCACATTTTTAGAGGAGAATATGAGAGAATGTGACCCTGAAACAGATTTGTCAGAGTGTAAAAGGAACTAAGAACATTTAGCTTAGAGTGGTCTAACTATTTTACTGTTTACAATGTTGTCATTCAGAGGCCCAACTAGAGTGAATTTTGATAGCCCCAGGAGGCAGGACTAGTATTGCGATGATGTGTATTAAAAGGGAGGAGAGGCAGTAAGAGTGGATGTGGGAAAATTAGTGAAGGCTTTGCTGTAGTAGTCCAGAAGAGATGAGGATAGATCGAATTAGGGTGAGAAACGTGGAGATGGGCGACAGTGAATGGGATTTGTGATCATTAGGCCTCAGTTCACAGATTGAAAGTGAAGGAGAAAAAACTTTCAGAGATGACTTCTCAGTTAAACAACAGGGTTGATGGTGGTACCTTATAAGAACCATGGTTCTTTTGATTCTGACATTGGGTTTGATCATACCTTTGGAACTTTCAGGTGGAAATGTCTGTAGGCAATTAGTTGTATTGTTCTAAAATCCAGAAGAGAGGTATGTTATGGGAATGGAAAATTAGAGTCATTTACATAGGTAATTGAAACTATAGATTGAATTGCATAGGGAAGGTAATATAACTTAGAAAAAATGCTAGAATGGAATCATAATGGTCTCTAGCATTAAAAAAAAAGTTTGCTGGAGGAATATGAGCTCCTAAAGAATACTGGGAAAGTCAGAAGTAGGGGATGAGTGTGGCATTAACAGAAACCAAGGGATAGAGTTGAGACATACCTCATTTTATTGTGCTTTGCTTCATTGTGCTTCACAGTTGTTTCTTAAAAATTGAAGGAAAGACCCTACACCAGCAAAAAGGTTACGACTTGCTTTATGGGTTTGGTCCGGAACCACACCCATAGTATTTCTGAGTTATGTTTGTATTTCAAGTGGAGAGTAGTCATTAGGGTCAGTGTTGATGAGAATTGATTAAAGTAAGAGCTGAAAGATTTTTCATTGAATTTAACAACATGGAACTCATTGGCCTTTTGAATAAGTAGGATAGTAAGATCAATACATTATCCACCCATGTTACAGAAGAGAGCTGATGTTTATCAGATATTTACTGTGCCCCAAACCCTCTGTTCTAGACATTTTACATACATTTTTGTTTGATCTTTTTCAGCAACCTTGACTTCCTAAGAATCAATACTGAAGTCTGTATGACTCTTTGGCATTTAGTTATTCATCATATAATTTGGCCTCCCAAATTCCTTACCAGTGTAGCAGACCTTTCTGTGATGTTGGAAGTGTTCTGTATCTGTACTGCCTAGTACAGTAGCTGACAGCAACAGGTGGCTATTGAGCACTTGAAATATGTCCAGTGCAACCAGAAAAGTGGTTGCTGTTTTGGAGAGTGCAGATGTAGATCAAAAGTCATTAAGAATCCAATATATAATGAAGTAGTCTTTTCTTACACAGTAGTACCCCCTTATCTGCAGTTTACCTTTCTTCAGTTTAAGTTACCTATAGTCAACTGTGGTCCAGAAATATTAAGTGGAAAATTCCAGAAGTAAACAGTTCATGAGTTTTAAATCTCATGTCATCCCTCTCTGTCCCACCTAGGACATGAATCACCCTAGCGTATTCACACTGTATGTACTACCAGCGGTTAGTCACGTAGTAGCCACCTTAATTATAAGAGCAAACACAGTACCAAAGTGCTTATGTTCAGGTAACCCTTATTTTACTTAATAATGGCCCCAGAAAACGAGTAGTGATGCTGGCAATTCAGATATCA